CCCCGGCCACTTGGAGAGGGACCACTGCTACTCCCTGCCTCGGGTACTTGCTCAACCTTTGGGCTTGCCGGCCCCGCCCCCACAACCCAGCGGAATGGGAGGACACGAGGGGGGTGGTGACTGAGCATTCCTGTCCCCTGACCCCCCCATTTCTCAGTGTCTCCTGCACCCAGGCCTCCCTTCGCATTCTGTTACCACTCCCAGGATTTATGGCGACACTGTATCAAATAGTTGTTAGCAATTGCTAAACACTCACGGTTTGATTAATTGAGGGTTTTGAAACACGTTTTTGCTTTTTTAAAGAAAACACTTACAATTGTACCTAAGGGCGTAATGTCTTTGACTTCAGCTTCTCGGTGCGACTCCTACAACCAGCATCTCATCTCTTCCTCGGGGGCCCAGGGCCACCTGCCCTTGTCTGACCCCACCAGCACAGCCCCGCCCCTCCCCACACCCAGGCCCCTCCCGCCACACGCCTGGCCCTCCTGGCTCAAAGCCCACCAATACGGTTTTGCTTTACTTTTTGGTAATAATAAAAAGTCTATAATCAATAAGTATCGATAAAAATCATTAAAAGCTAATAGTAATAAGAAGCCTTCAAGTTGTTCCTAAGCCTTAATCCACGACACAGATTTTCAGATTCCCCTTCCGAAATATATCATCTGTCATTACTGGCTGCCCGCGGTGTTGGTGCGCTCTCTGATCAAGGTTACCTGATCAGTAAGAGACACTGCCAGAATCTACACCAAGTCCGCCCGCCGCTAAAACCTGAGCTCTGCTCCAATCTGCCCCTGACGCCCACCCACTGTGGAAGACTGAGTTCAAGCGGTTGCTAATTTTTAAAAGTGAGAAAGAATTGAGATGTTTCTAAGTATGGGATTGGTTAAATACACGATGATGTATCTCTTCACTGGAGTAATGTTTGCATATATATAAAAAAGATGACAAAACTCAGTGGCATGGAAAGATGAGACACTGTTGAGTAAAAAAGGGTGATGGATTAGCTCATCTAATAAAATCCCATCTTTGTGGACATCCCTGATTCCCTCCCATATTTAGTATCTCTCTCTCTCTATCTGGAAAAAAATCTGGAAGGATATACTGAGAGGCTAAGAGAAAAATTACCAGGTGTACTCACAACTGC